GATATGATTCGGGGTTTGGGGTTGGGGGTTGGGGGTTGGGGGCGATAAGGATGTGAGAGGTTATGATAAAAAAAAAGCTAGCACACCTTCCAGCCAAGATAAATTTTGCGAATGAAAGTGGCCGCCTCCTCCATTTTCTTGGCAAGTTTCAACTGCCTCAAGATGACTCGTGCCTACAAGATGATCACAGCGTGAAGGGGAGGGGGTTCAAACATTCGGTGGTGGTGGTGGTGGTGAGGGTGAGAATGAGGGTTGTGATGGTGGTGATGGGTGAGGTGGTTGTGGTGATGGTGGTGATGATGGTGGTGATGGTGGTAATGGTGGTGATGATGGTGTTGATGGTGATGAGGATGAGAGTTTGTTTTAGTAAGAGTTTTACGGCACTAGCAACACAATGAGGCCATATATTCTAAGTGCCCAAGATTAGAAGTGGCACAAGAGAGTAACAAATACAAAAAGGAGGAGGAGAGATAAGAATGATAGATGTTTGATAAGAAAGAAAGAGCAAACCACACCAGAGCACCCGCCAACCATCCACAAAGATGAGAGTGAGGGTTGTGGGGATGGGTGAGGTGGTGGAGGTGATGGTGGTGGTTGTACTGATGATGATGACGATGACGATGACGATGACGATGATGATGATGATGATGATGATGATGATGATGATGATGATGATGATGATGACAGTGATGTTATGAGGATAACGATGGTAAGAAAGAGAGCATGATATTCATTAGAAAATGATAAAATATACAATAAAGTAAATAAGTCATTATAGTAAATAATGGTACAGTAAAAATGATGATGATGATGATGATGATGATGACATCATGATGATGATGATGATGATGATGATGATGATGATGATGATGATGACGATGACGACGATGATGATGGTGATGATGATGACGATGATGATAGGTGCAGGTCAGTATAATGTTTGTAAATAGCAAAAGGTATGGTGAATCCATTCTTAGTTAGGAAGACACTCAATCAAACAACACATTACAGTACAGTCGACACAAACCGAAAAAGGAAGACAGTCACTCAAAAAACACATTACAGTATAGTCGACGTAACGATTACAGAAGACAGTCACTCACACAACACTTTACTGTATAGTAAACATTACCGTTAAACGAAGACAGTCACTCAGACAGAACATTACAGTATAGTCGAGGTAAACCAAAAAAGAAAGGCAGTCACTCAAACAACACATTACAGTATAGTCGACGTAGACCGTAAAAGAAAGACAGTCACTCAAACAACACATTACAGTATAATCGACATACGCCAATGAAGCGGTAATCTGATGGATGGGATAAAAGCGTGGCAGGCAGAAGCAAAGACTTTTACAAGTCTATAGACAAGGATTTGATGGCACCTTCCATCTCAGATTGGGCTAACAATAACGAGACCTAGAATCATTTCGTCCCTCGTGAAACATCTACTAATTGGCACATGAGAGAGATGGGGTGAGAGTGAGAGAAGGGATGAAAGAGAGGAATAAGCATGACGTCTACCCACAGAAGTACCGCGCCCACAGACACATCTGCTACCGTGCATAAAGCCTATAAGGAGTTCGGACAGTCTAGCTATAAGGACTCAAACATAGAGGACTCAGAGTTCCGTTCGTCTTTCGTTCGGCCTTTCGTTTCGACAACCTGATAAGAAAAGTATTTTTTAAAGATAGCGAACGCCGAAACGAGACAGAATCATGAGCAGTCTGCGAACCAAAATTTTTATGGCATTTAGTGTACTTCTTGTGCCTTACGTCAACCGAAAATAACATTATTCGGAAAACGTGCCAAAATCCGAAGCGAAGTGAAAACCGAATCACTGTTTGAGCCCTTAGAAGAAGCCCAGAAATTCCCCATACAAAGCTCTAAAAAAAAAAAAAATTAAAGAGATTGTAACTTTGTAGTTGTTGATTTTTTCTTATACACCTCTATCGAAACGATTTACATTGTTCAGGAGGCGGGCTGCTTCCACTCCGTCTTTTTTTTTCTAGTTTGATCAAGTTGGTTTGAGTAGGCTACAGAGAAGGTTGTTGAGTGCAGGGGAAAAGCAAGACAGACAGACAGAGAGACAGGCACAAAGACAGACAGCACCTACTATTAACATCCCCCAGCCACGCTTTTATTTCTGACGGGAATCGATGGCAAAATAGAAGCAAAGCCAAACAGCAAAAGTCACAAAAAGAAAGATTTATCTTTCCTGCACTTAGGTCTACTAAACACCCCTACTCGGAAGAAAAAAATCACAAGTTGCGAGCACAAGTGCAAAATGTATTGAAGAGATGCCGTTATGTTTCACTAATTGAAACATCGCCCAAGCAGACAGCTGAAGCAATAAGACAGAGATGACCACTAGAGTATGAAGAACAGGTCCAATTCTCATCCCGAACTCTGTAAGATTTGAACTCTAACTCAGAATTCTGTAAGATTTGAACTCTAACTCAGAATTCTGTAAGATTTGAACTCTAACTCAGAATTCTGTAAGATTTGAACTCTGGCTCTGAACTCTCCAAGATTTGAACTCTTAGCCTGAACACTGTCCAGTTCAAACTCTAAACTTGAACTCAGTAGGCCTATGGTTTGAACCCTAGTCTAATCCTACATTTTGTGAGGCTTGAACTTTAACCCTGAAAACTATAAGGCTTGATCTCTCACCCTGAACACCGTCAGGTTTGAACTCTAACCATTGACACAGTAGGTTCTTTTTCTTTTTCCTTTTCTTCTTCTTTGACCCTCTGTCGCAGAGTCCTGTATCTTAATGCTGCCACATCTCCTTTGTCGTAAACCTAAAGAACTACCTCAGTATGAAAATACTTTATGTTCCCTGTATAAGCGAATTCCTCTATTAGAACATTTCAAACTTTCTGACAGAACATTTCAAGCTTATGCATTTCCTCTAAAAGAATATTTCAAACGTATATGTGATATTTCCACTACAAGAATGATTTAAATTAATCCTATATATAATTATTCTAACACAGCCTTCTCGAATCTTGGTAGTGGAATACATAAAACCTAGCCTATGTAGGGCCTATTATAAACGCATCCTTACAATCCTATATGATCACCTCGCAGCTCGATATTGTTATTCTTCAATACACAAATTCATCAAATATGCCGAGTGCTTTAAGCCTGCTTTTGCGTTTGCTAGTAAGTTCAAGCCAAACAAAGTTATGCTGTTCGCTGTTGCCATTCAACGTAAAAAGACACGACACATGGCAGAAAAGTACAGAAAAGATCAATGGAAAACAGACATCTGATCACAGGAATTGAAGAAAGCAATGAGAAAAAAAAGAATTTGTTATAAAACCTGCATAATTGCACTCTGATTGCACTTTTTCCTGGCTTTGAAGAATTTTTGAGTAAACTTCTGTAGATCTTGCATTTTTCACTAATTTCTAAACAAAATTTTACATTGTACATTTATTGCATTCAAGGAAATCCCGGACAAAATTTTGAATCGTGACATTTATCGCATTCTTTCGTTTCCTTCATGAAATCTTCAGCACATTTTAAAATCTCACATTTATTTATTGCATAAAACTACATCTTAAATCTTAAAATATCTAGGGGTTTTTTTTCTTTACTTTTTAGAATTTGTTAGCAAAGTTGTCCACCTCTCCAAAAGTTCATCATCAAGAACTGTTCTCCAAAGCTGGATGATGATTTGATGAGATAGGATACCAGCCGGGTTCACACAATATTAACATATTTTATTTGATTACAAGCAATTTATGCAAATCAGAATGCATCACACATTTGTCTATTTTTTTCGTAATGATGTTTGCTCAATAGTCTTGTCTGATTACGAGTCAGTTCCAAGACAGGCCGGCTAAAACAGATTGAAAGAGGCTCATTGGAAATATATATGAAAACACAATATGCACAAGAAGCCAGCGCATACAACTTGGCGCAGCTTTGAGCACACAGTTAAGTCAAACACTGCACAAGGAAAGGTCGTTTTATGTCACACAGACCGTGGGGGTCGTTCCTTTCAAGATAACAGGGATTTATTTTTGAACTAACAAGACTTGATTCTTCCGAGATAACTAAGGTGTCTTTCAAGATAACAAAGATTTCCGTAAAGACAACAATAATTTCTTTCAAGATAATCAGGATTTCTTTGAGACAACAAGGAATTCTGTGATGATAGTAAAGATTTCTTTCAAGATAACAATAATTTCTGTCAAGATTGTAAGGATTTCTGTCAAGATAATAAGGATTTCTGTCAAGATACGAGGATCTCTTTCACGATATTAACAATGAATTCTTCCAGGAGAGCAAGGATTTTTGGTCAAGATACCAAGGATTACTTTAATGATAACAAGGGAGAGGATGGGGAGGGGGTAATTGGAACCCAAGAAAACACAGTGCTCAAAATCAACACTATCAAATCACAGCCGAGAAGTTAAATTATCCTTGTAGAAATTCTTAAAAATAAAAATGTTCTTAAAAACACCTGATAAAAATCATTCTAAAGTCTTGCAAAGAATGGACAGGGTGGGGCGGTCAACACTGATCTTTCTAGCGAGTTGGTTGATATATTATTATGGGGTTTTTTTTGGTTGAAAGTTGGGATGGGGGTGTGGGAGGGGGGGGGTTGGAAGAAATAGCTAGCTCTCTAAACATAATCATAGGAAAAAATACAAAGAGGTAGAAAGGGGGTGGAGTTGAGGGAGGGGGGGGGGGGCATCAT